ATGAGTTCAGAGCCAGACTTGGGAGTATCGTTGGTCCCTACGTGAAGGACCACCGACACTTCCTCGGCCGACTCGGAGCACACCACCGATCCGATCCTATCCCTAATGTGTTCGATCCTAGCACCGGGAAACTGACTGAAAGAAACCTGAGCTCCTGAATCTTTTTCCATCGCTCCCTCAAGACGCCTGACGTTCGAGTCACCGACGATTACAAGGGCCCGAGTTTTCCCTCTCCCTTTCAACACGGCCTGAGCTTGTCCTGCCGACCTCACACCTGTTCCCACCCCGCCCTCTGTTCCCTCATCCAAGCTGACCTCTCTCAACCCAAGAAACTTGTTTTCGGTCTTAATGACTGCCTCCTGGGATCGCTTAACCTTCGCCCCCTTTACGACCTGAGCCCAATTACTAGCCACCTGGGAGTGTAAGTGTAAGTGTAAGTAGTGTAAGCGTAAGTAAAGATGCTCCATGATCGAATCGGACGAGACCGTGGAGAGGGCATTAATCACTTCATACATTCATAGGGTAGGATAAGAACGCGCCAGTCCGCGTGAAGGATCGATACGAACATACGAAGAAGATGACGTCACGCAGCGGATGCTCAACTAAAATGTCTGCTCACATAATGTCCCCATGGTTTACCACGTGCTCTTGTTTTGCTCCTCGCAGTTCCTGTGATAGGTTAAAGTTAGGTAGGCTCAGCATAGGCATAGAAACCCCTTCTCGAACTGAACATGGAATGCCTTTCTCGTACTCAATGAGAGGGTCTGGTTCTTTGCATAGAACATCAGAATGAGTCCTGTTTGGTTCTTCTTGGGCATACACTGTTCTGAATGAATTCGTACTCCCCTCCCATAGGAGCGCTTCCATCGATCACAGCTAGTGACACGTTCGCAAGGTTGGTTTTTGCATCATTGATGAGGCAGATCCTCTGGAAGTAGTGACTTCTCTGTTCTTCCCTATCAAGGGTGGGTGGGATTTACGAATTCAACTGAAAACTGTAGCTCAGGCAGAAATTCCTGGAGATGGAAAGAGAGACTCAACTTAATTGAGGGGTCTGGTCTGAAAATTCGGTCTGTAGGGTACTATTGGACTTTGATTTTGGTTTGATTATCCCAGTCTCCCACCATATAATGAAAAAGCTTCATGCTTACATGACCATTATGTTATGCAATATAATCTCAGTATGATGCAATGCAACAGTGAACCATGTGTAACAGGCTCAAGGCCCATAGAGGTTCCCTAACTCTGGAACTCTAGTTTATTCTATCCCCCCCACTATAACATCAACAAGCACAATAAAGTAAACTCTAACTTCTTGGGAGACTCAATTTGGCTCTTGGTTACTTCAGGGATATGTTATCAGGATTTGGCCTTCACCACCAGGGTTCTTCAACATCCTTATAGCTAAAGGTAGGAGTGCTAAATACTCAAAGGTTCCTGATCCAGGGTGTGCTAGGGCATGCACTTGAAAATAAATGTTAAAAAATCAAATTATTTCTCTTAGCACGTCTCTAGAATGGAATGCAATATTCTAAATGGGGCTCTAGCAATTGCTACATACAATGAAATGATTATGTGTGTGCAGTTACTGACAATGGAATCCAGGTTCTGTATCAAGAGCCACTCACTAAGCAATTTCTAAAATCTAGGTTGATATGAGGTTTGTCAATGGTTATTTTATCTAGTTCAAGAGGACTAACCTAACAAGCCATCTTCTGCCCTGGTATCAAACCAAATCTCTTCACCAGTGAGTCTGTCAACTGTTCAGTTGTAGTAGGCCTATCATTTTGTTTATGAACCTTTTCTATTGTACAGGGGGAACCCCAAAAATGGGACAGATTTGTAATGCTCATAAAAACTGCATTTTAGGCACTAGAAATGTACTGTAAGCTTTATTTTATAGAAAAAACTCCAATTTTTTACCCTGTCATCTTTGCAACTGAAAAATAACACTACTGAGAACACAGCAGAGAATATTCATTGTAAGGAAGTATGTGAAGTTGAAATCAGTAATGAAGGTGCAGCATGCCTAGCCATCCATGGGCCCCCAGATCTGCTCTCACCCTTCATTAGTCTTTGGGACTGTGCCAAAGAAAACAACTTTCGCATGAAACTGACAATTCCTGAGCTTAAGGATGTATTGTTGAAAGTGATTTCAACTGTTTCATATGACACTCTTCAGGTGGCAATTAAGTTTTGCCATGCAGGTTTGCATCTGCACCTAAAATGCAGGCAGATATTTTGGGCATATGTCATGACTGTCACATTTTTGTAGCCCACCCTGTATTTCCAATTTTCTATGGGTCCTTTATGATGTGTATTGCATAGTTGGACATGGGATGGGTATCTTGTGCCTTCATCACACTTTGCTCTCAGGTGAGGCTTTGGTGGTATAAATCTAGGAATTGTCTTTTGCTAAGTCCTGTGGTCCAGGACCATATACAATGATATCACTTGTTCCACCAGTAGTTTATAATTTACCATGTTTTGTCAAAGTGTATGAAAGATATGTTGTGGATTAACTTCCTATGTAACTCTGAAGTGGTCTCTGTACCACTTATGGAATGTTACAGGAAAGAATAATATTTAAGGCTGAAATCTAAGTAAAAGAATAAGAATAAAGGAAATGGAGGAATCAGGCAGCTTTGTGAGAAATTAATGGAAGAAGCAGGCCAATTTTTTTATTATTGGGCATGTAAAACTTTTCCCAACCTTTCTCAGCCCAAGTTATTTTTGCCTGCCTTCTCTATGACTTCTACATGAATAGGCCTATGAAAAGACACACCTAGGGTATTTTGATAGACAATGCTATGAGGTGGAAACTTGCAGAAGAGAACATATGTATTCAAGATTTTCAAGATTCAAGATAGTGACGTCAAGAGGCAATTTCGCCCATTTCGATATCACGTGTCGAGGTCGAGCATTCCTTAATTTTAGGGTAGGCCTAACCCTCTTAAAGCTAAATTATATATATATATATATATTTTTTTTTTTCTGACTATCCTAGTTGCTTACTGTCTAGTACCTAACATCAACATTGCCTCCCACCTTTTTGCCTGTCCATGAATTCATCCAGTTTCTTCTTAAAGATAGTCACAGAAGGGGTAGCCACTACTTCGTCATCTAACGCATTCACCACTATTTATTATTATTGAATACTCACATGAAGAGGGTTAGCAAGATTGCATCTTAACTGCTGTAGTTGTAGGATCCTTTTGCAGTGTATTCCTTCTGCAAGGTGGAGGAGGTTCCTGCATCTGAGTGTGCTGAGTGTAGGAGAGGTAGTTGAATATTTGCTTGTTTTTTCACTCATCAGGCTATGTTCTTTTCCTGACTTCTTGGCTCACCACAATTGACTATTTCAAATTGGGAGGCTGTATGATCTGGCATCCCATAAAGCTGAATCCCTGGATCCTCTTTCTTAGTATTATTCCATCTCAGCTGATGTCAATTCTTGGAGTAGATCATGGGATGATAAGTATCTTCACTTTTAGGCCTATATGAACCTCATTGTAATGTTAGGCTTAATATCAATTATAATGTGATAGGAGAATTTCTCCTATTTTCAGATGCTTGCTCTACGCATGAGCGTAAGAGTGACTATGCATATGCAGTCCTTGATTCGGCAGGCAAGTAACATTTCTGAGTTATTGGACGACTCAGTACCATTTGGAAGTAAGCCCATTCAAAGGCCAAGTGTAAGTCCAGATGAAACCACAATTCTCCTCTTCCCTGGACAAGGATCTCAGTACATTGGAATGGGAGAATCCCTCCTGGATGTGCCTGGAGTCAGGGAAATGTTCAGCAGAGCCAGTGCCATATGCAACTATGATCTCCTTTCTCTCTGTCTAAAAGGCCCAGCAGAATCTTTAGACCGTACTGTGTACTGCCAGCCAGCTGTTTTTCTTGTTTCTCTTGCTGCAGTTGAGAAACTACGTCATAGTCAACCTGAAGTAATAGAAAAATGTGTGGCAGCAGCTGGCTACAGTTTGGGAGAAATTACTGCTCTTGTCTTCTCTGGTGCCTTGACTTTTGAAGATGGACTAAAGCTTGTCAAAGTGAGAGCAGAAGCAATGCAGATGGCTTCTGAGGCAGCACCCAGTGGCATGATGACTGTCTTTTGTGGTCATCAGTCAAAGCTCAATTATGCATGTCTTGTTGCCAGGGAGTGGTGTAAGAAACAGGGGATCAATGAGGTCGAGGCTGAGTGCCGCATTGCCAGCTACCTCTATCCAGACTGCAAGGTTGTTGCTGGACATGAAGTAGCATTGGAGTTCATTGAGAAAAATGCCCGTGATTTCAAACTGCTTAGATGTCGACGTCTTCCTGTTTCTGGTGCATTTCATACAGACTTGATGAAGTCAGCTGCTGAGCCAGTGAGAGCACTCATGAAGCGTATCCCTATCAACCCTCCTCTGGTTAAAGTATATTCAAATCTTGATGGACATGTTTACCATACAGTGAAGCAAATTCAACGAAATACACCAAAGCTCCTGTATAAGCCAGTGAAATGGGAGCAGACCATGCATGCAATCTATGAGAGAAAGTCAGATGTGCCTTACCCTACTACATTTGAGTGTGGTCCTGGTGGGAATCTAAGAAAGATTCTTGAAAGGGTCAATGCCAAAGCAGCTTCCTTCATGAAGACTTTTCGAGTGTGACTTGACTGTATTTTCTTCCATATCATTAGAATTGTTACTATTTTTCATGCTGTATTTTTCCAGAAATAATGCAGTGTCGGCTCCTGAAACCATTTGTCTTTCAATGTTGTCTGCAAATTTTCATGCAGCTTCAATAATACTACTAGTATTAATTATCCTCAAATTGTGAATTTATTCCTTCTTAATGCTGAATGATAGCAAAATGTAATTCACTTGCATACTTTTGCTTTTTTTTTTCTTTGCAGAACTTTGGATACAATGAGGAAAGTAGATAGCCTACATGAAAGCTGATATACTGGGTGAGACAAAAAAAAGGTGCTGCTCGTTGAATCTCTTTGGCTTTTGATGGAAAGCAGGTATAAAGAAAGAAATTGTTTGCTAATCACTTCATTTTATTCACTGAACATTTCAAAAGTCTCATTCATTTTCATTGAGTCATTTTTCTGAATGTGGTTTTATGAAAGCTGCTTGATTTTATTTTTGCACTGGCTCATTCTCTGGCACTAACATGCACTTGAAGTGATGGACAATCAGACCTCCATTTGCCTGACACGCTGCCAACAGTCTCTTCCCCCATTGGAGAATAGACTTCTATATGACATCATTGAACACCAATTCCCAGGCTCGAGTGATACCTTGCTTGAGGGAGTCCAAAGACATACACTTCTCATGCTGATTCCTATACATGACCTCCAACAAGACTGTCCAGATGGAATAGTCAAGCGGGTTGCAGTTGAGAGAATTTGGAGGCCATTTGGTGTGTTTGATGAACTCTGGAGTATTTTGTGTCCAGAAATGCTGTGCTGCCTGGCTTTGATGGGATGAGGCATTGTCTTGGAGGAAAATGTAGTCATCGTTTGGGTACAATATCCTGCAGGATGGAAGAAGTTCTTTCTTGAGCCCCTTGATGTAAATAGTCGTGTTCACCTTTTGTTTGCTGTGGGCTGGTAAAAGAGAGGTCAATTTTCTAATTCCAACACATTCCTGCAATTACCATAACTTTCTGGGAGAACCTCAACTTGTGATAGTAAAGCTGATTGGAAAAAAGGTCACATTTCCTCCCAACTCCGTACACCCTGTCATTTTGATGATTCATGGGGACTTCTGAAGTGAAATCCTTTTTGTCTGTGAAAATTATTAGTTTCACCAACTCAATTTGTGTAACACTGGTAAAGCAGCCTACATCTAACTTTCTGTTTGTTGATGGCATCATGATTCACACTGGGAGTGATAATTCTTTTGAAGGCTCTTCAGGATTCACAAATTGATATCTGACTGACTCCTAAGTCTCTGGCAATTTCCCTCTGGGATTTGTGCATTCCTGGATGCCCTTCTTGAGAGACAATGGCTTCCTCCACATAGGCACAATTTTCCTCAGTTTGAGCTGATTTTGATCTGCTGCTCCCTCTCTTCTTCACAGAGGAACTGGTATCCCTCAACTTTTAGATCAACCTGTTAATGGTGCATTTCTTCCACCTTTTTTCCAAAAAATTATTTCATGATTCTGGCTCCACCCCATCCTTTCTCAAAATAGCAGGTGGTAATAACCTTCTGGCTTCCACAGAGAGTACCATCATCATCAATAGACCGAGGCGAACTGAAACAAAATTGGTGCAGGTTAACGGGCCATTTTCCCCCCATCACTCTCCTGTGCAAAAAAAGTTGAGTAAAATCATTCATTTGAAAAAATGGTTGGTGATAAATGAACGTCACTTTCAGGAACATTACAGGATACACTGATGCCAGCAAAAAAAAATCAAAATGATATATGTGCTCCAATAAATGCCCAAGGCTTTCAAAGAGCAGTGCGTTTTGTTTTTTTTCTCACCCAGTATTGCCCTGTCTAATTAAAAGGACAAAATGCTACTTGAGGAAGAGTACCATATGAATGCAGTTTGGTGTAGAGCTAGGAACAGACTATGACGAAGTATCAGTTGAGCTGGTTATTGGGACAGTCTAATAGACTGCCAACAACATGTATGTTGAATTTAAGGTTCATCCATCAAACCAAACCAAAAAAAAAAAGTTCAGGTGTGGTCAATGGAAAGATGAATTCAACAGAAAAGCATTTAAAACCTAAGGTTAGCATTGGGAAAGGCTGTTGAGGTGCTGATCTTCTATCAGAAAGGAAGTTAATGCTGATATTTCAGATATGCAAGAGACAGATAGGAAAAATCACACATAGTTTATCTGCTCAAAAGTAGAGATGAAATCAGGTGAAGAAACAGATGAATTGTCAGGAGCAAGGCTTAGAACAATATTATCTTAATTATTTGGTAAATCATATCAAAACTTTTGCTGGGACTTTATAAATTACATTATTGCAAGTCTTTTAGTACAGCTTGTCATTACATTATATTTGCATTACTTCAGCTAGTCCTAGCAAGGAGGCTTCCATGTTGAAGGGGGATAATCATTAACCCAAGCAGAGCAGTGTGCTCATGAGCAAAGTCTGTCAGTGAAATTACTATACCAATAATATGTTGAGTGACATAGAGGAAACTCTTCAAATGCTCTTATGTAAAGGTCAGGTGGTATTAATTGCCCTGAAACTCCAGAAGGAGTGTATGAATGAAGTGTGAATTTGGAACTCCTCATTTTGGTATGAATATCAAGGAAAGTTTCAAGGTAATTGAATGAAGTGATTCAAAGAAACCTTGTCAAATGCTTTAGGAATGGATGAAAAGGGTGACTTCACTGAAGATATCATTTCCTTTTCTTTTTCATTCTAGCCATTTTTCTGTTCTTGAGGGGTCGAATTCAAAGCCATGTTGTGACTCTATCTCCTGACTTAATTTTTTAAAACTTGTTTGAGCATTTAATTGATATGAATTGTTAATATGGATGCATGCAGCAACCTGATATGTGCATCAGGCTGATGCATCAGGCTGATTTGGGCCATGTGTCAACCTTACTTGAATGTGATATTACTTGACTTAAATATGATCCCCATGTCAGTTTGATCTGGTATTTTTCAATATATTCAATCTAGTTGACTCATTCACTGGTGATATTAGTGATGGAAAGTAAGGTAAGTGAGGAGAATGATACCATATCCAAGGTAATGGAAGTATGAGAAAAACATCATTGAGGCAATAGATTGCTTACATTGATTGATAACCTTACATCATCTTCATAGGGGAAATAATATCCCTTATTTGTTTTTTATTCCTATTCTTATCTTCAGAGGAGGTCGCTGCCTACCCCCTCTTCATAGACGAACCACTAGCGCTAAATATCACGAGCCACCACTGCTTATCTTGTATTCCTGGCAAATTATAAGCTAGTGATACTCAATGTGTGTGCACTCAATTGAGCCCCATGATCAAAACATGGGAGTGAGTCATGCCAGATTCACGACATCATTTCTGTGGTGGTATAGGAATCTCACAATCATCAGGGAAACTGACAGTGTCATTGCATCTTTTGTTTCGAGCCATATTTTGTGACACCCAGGCCTCTCATAGTTTGCATGATTTTACATTTCTCCATGTAATGTGCAAACCTGCTCTTGCAAGGGTTTGAATGAAGTTTTAGAATTCTGTCAGGCTTTATATATTCTCTTTCCTCTGTTGTTCCTTCTAGGGCATTGTTGCTATCTATTGATGTTCCTCTTGAAGTAAATGCATTGTGCCAACAATGATATTTTGCTTGAAGCATGAAATAAATTCCTTATTAAGAGTCAAATAATATTGCCCCAGTGACAAATGAAGAATCACAGTTTTTAACCTTGTTTTAATGTCATCACTGCACCAAATTCTCTCTGTAAGACTTTCCTTGCACATCGATCTCATGATTATATAAAATGATATTATGTAAGATCTATCTTCTTAGACCTCTCCTGGTATGTGGTTTATAGTATCTTTCTGAAAGGCCTTCATAAAGCATGTCTGAGAGACAAGCATCCATCCAGCTACAGGAGCAATTGGAGATTAGCTCAAGTTTGTTTGAAGTCCAGAAGGTCCTTTCATTTCTCTTCATCCTTGATATGCAATATTGAAATTGCCTGTTCCATGGAGTGAAGGCATTGGGTATCTTAAAGTAGTCTTTGATATAGTTTTGATTTAGCTTCTTTTTGAAATCCACTGATTTAGGTAACTAGGAAAAGTGTAATATCTTATTAATTGGTAAAATCATGGGTGAGCATTGATATATTTTGGTTGTTTTAGAGCCTGAACCATTAATTTTCTCTTTAAGACATCAGTAGTGCTATAATATAGCTAATGAGAAACCAAAAACCATTAGTCAAGCATTTGTCAGGTAATATCAGGAAAAATGTACTTGGATCCTTGATGTTTATGACAATTTTCAACAGTTTTAAATTGTAGACCCTTACAGTGTTCATCCTTCAAGAGTCTGTCATCATATCCACATTTCCATGATCTTGTGCCTCACTTGATTGAGGAGTTTATTCATTGGAAATGAAATCATTTTAGGTCCAGTCCTAATCAGGTCAGGGTGGGTGATCTCAGACCAGATGTTCCACACAACATCATATGCTGTGTTCAGCAGAGGTGGTCTCATTCTTATGAGAGTCTTTGATTCCATATACTTGGGATGGACCTATCAAAAAGGTCCAGGATTGGCCTCTGTACGAGGAAACAGGAAAGAGATAAATGAAGTTAAGAGTTAGGTTTCTGTATGATCCCCTTTGAAATTGTTCCCTTGGCTTGTGATACACTTCCCTCCACTTTTGTAAAGAGCTTGGAACACTAACTGTAGCCATTCTTGGCAACCTCCCTCAACTTGTTGGTCACAACTAACTGGAGAGCATCTGTTTGAGAAAGCAGCAGCTTTTCAGAAGAAACTTCATTCTGGGAAACAGCATGAAGTCACAAGTCATGAAGTCTGGTGAGTAGGATGTGGGAGCAATGTCACATGAAGATTGGTTTTAACACATTGACTGCCAGAGTTTGCAACATGCTTTGGCCCTGTCATCCACATGTGGATGACATGGCAGTCAATGTGTTAAGTTCTGTGGTACTGTCATGGTACTGATTGATTGCTGGCAGTCCCTGCAGACAAGCTCAGAAAGGGCCTTCACTGCTTCCTCATTATGGATTGTTGATGCCCTAATTCTCATGAGTGTGTGAGTGGCACAAATGATTTCACAAAGGGCAGGAATCCATTGAAGATGACAGATGCAGTGGGTGGCTATCAACAATCCCTGACTAGGAAGCTGTGCAGGCCCTTTCTGAGCCTGTATGCAGTAGCCACCAGTAATCAGTCAGTACCATGGTAGTACCATGGAATTTTCAGCTTATTTTCAGGTGACATTGCTCCCACATCCTCCCATCCTCCCTCCTCACCAGATTTTGTGACTTAATGCTGTTTCCCAGAATGAAGTTCCTTCTGAAAGGCTGCAGCACAGGCACTTGATGACACAGGCACTCTTCACTCAGCTGTGACCAACATATTGAAGAAGGATGCCAAGAATGGGATACAGTCAGTGTTCCAAGCTCTTTACAAATGTGAGAAGAAATGTATCACAAGCCATAAGGGATCGTGCTGAAACCTAACTTCTGTACATAGTTTTCTCTTGCAAAGGCTGGTCCTGGAACTTTTCAATATGCCCTTGTAGGTGTAAGTTAGAATGCATATAAGTGTTTTTTATTATTTAAGTTTTGAAGAGTGGGAATACATATTTTATACATATTTTTATATTTACATAATATAAAACTTGATATTTTCTCATTTTGAGACTCTTGAATAAGATCTTGAAAAAGTGTTTGTTTCTTGCAGTTGATTTAAAATTTTGATGTTTTTGGTATCATATTACAGGGTGAAGTGGTAGAGTTGTAGGTGCATGTAGGTATAGGGTAGACTGAGGAATGATGGGAGACCGGAAGGGGAAAGAGGTGGATGGTGAAGGATCTGATTGGGACAGTATGTCTGAGACTGCTCAGCCTCCTCAAAGAGCCCAACCAGCAACAGGTTTCATTCACTCATTTCTTATCCAAGTAGATCTTGTTTTGCAGTTGCCTTTAAATTACCATATTCTAAAAGGAAATGACATGTTCTCTCCTGAAAAGCTCACTCTTGATGCCCCTGAAATGAATACTTTTTTTTGTAAATGGTTTTGAAGAAAGGAATAATGAAGATTCATAAATTTCATACATCTCACTCAACTCAAAGACATCAGCAACTTAGTGGATCTTGAATTTTGAGACAAGACTTTGGGCTTTTTACTTTCTCATGTACTTTGTACATGAATTTTATCCATGATTTTGTACTTTCATTTGGAAAACTGATGCTTGGGTTTCAATGATTGGTTTTAACATTCAGGAACTAAAGCCCTTCTTTCATTCCACTTTAAACTCTTCCAGTGGTAGAAGGTGAGGATGGAGTTACTGTCACAAGAGAGGAACCAACTAAGTCAAAGACTTTTGGCTCTTCCTTTTTCAGGTCAGAAAAAGCTGTTGACACATATTATGGACACTGATTTTATCTCTGAATTCCTAACCATGTCTCTTAGTTCAAACATGGATATTCCATGTATGCCTAGCCTTAAAATCTGAATTTATCCTATTTCATTTGCAGATGAAAATTTAAATCTCCTTCCTCAATCTGGAGGTGTCATTAGAGGAAGCATTAGCATCTCCTGAGTGTCAGGAGATACCAATGCCTGTGCAGAGGTTGATTTAATTCAGATCATGTGATATTTATTCATGTATCTCTTCTCTGTGCTTATTGAACCCACTTACTTGTCATGTAAAAAGCAGAATAGCAAATGGAATGTGGAGTTTCTTTAACCACTGCTCTAGGTATCTGTCTCTCTGTGTTATCAATAGGCATCAATTCCTATGTCTACATGTTTACAGAAATTCATTCAGAAATGTGTTTATACCTCGTAACTATATTAAAAGTTGTAAAAAAATATTTAAACTTGTGTTATTGGTAAACTCCACGTCTATTTCTAAGCAATCTTGAAATAAATTCTCTCTTTAAAAAAGTAAAGCAATATTGCCCCTGGGGCAAATGTGAAGAATGATAGTTTTCTAACCTGGTTTTATTAGATTGGAGGTGTAATCAAAATTGATCATGCCTCCAAAATGTCAAATTTTCAAAATAATGTATAAGTCCACCTTTAACCAATATTGGTTAAAGGTGAGGGTGAGGCAAAAGTTACAAGTTACAGATACATACAGTTGTTGAATATAGAGCATGGTTTACTTTCTAATGTCATAGTGACCTTTGTTTAAAAAAAGAATACAACAGAAAAATGATCATGAATGTAATTTCAAAAGCTACCAGCTTCATCCAACAGTATTACTCTGAAACAAAGAGGACCTAATTAGCAAAACAATTTTCAGTATACAAGAACTATATAGTGACTTTTGTCGCACCCTGTATAGCCTTTGCTTTGTGGATAGATTCTTGTCATTGATATTTGCTCTTGACATCTTGGGCCTGCTACAGTACAATGAGGGGAAGCCTTGCAACTGCTCACATTCTGATTGACTGGTAGTTTTGTAACAGACCTATCTGTATCATTTGAATGGCAATCATCTCCATACTTTAGTGTGTTGAGTAACCATTTATGAAAGACACTGCACATGACAGTGTAATTCAGGGTAGTAGATCATAGCAAAATGCATATACTGCCTTCGAAATAGTTACTGAACCCTGACTTCCATGTTATGGAATGTTTTCCAAAGAAACTGACTACCTCATGGAGGAAGAAGAAATTTGTTGGGTATCTTAAGAACAGCAGACTTGGTTCAAAGGCTCAAGTCTTGGGCTCTCATATCCAGATCAGAGATTTGTTTCTGACTTATTTGTATGTGAAATTAATCAAGTCAAAATTAAATTGCACTATATGGTGCCATACCTAATTTCAGGATGTAACATGCCAAAATTGTAGATTTGCAACTCAGATCAGGTTTTCAAAATTGTCCATAACTGCAAACATGATGCATAATACAGCCTCAACCTCTGCTTATAATGGTCTACCCTCATTTCTTTACTGTAATTTTCAATATCTGTCACCACAGAACTTGCCAGAATTTAGATAGCATTGCTCTTCTTAGATTGCTCTAGGAAGGATATTTGAATAGCTTAGGGCAGGGGTTGGGAACCTATGGCTCAATAGCCAAATTTGGCTCACAAACTGAAAAGTTTGGCTCATTGAGTCATGGCTAAAAATCATGGGTTGTTTCTCATTTTTTCATGCATCAGAGAATGCATATGTCTGTTGCCTGAAAATCTTTCACTCACAAGCACTTAGCTCAATCTTAATATAGCTCACATGGCCAAAAAGGTTCCTGTCCCCTGACTTAGGGTGTATCATAAAACATTCAAGTTATCATGTAAAAACTTATGATACCTTGATTGAGGAAGAAAAAGTTTAATGCACTTGGCAATGAATAGTTGATATAAGAGTCTGAAATATTGACTTTCTTCTGATTTTCAGTCGTCTCAAAGGTGGGAAGACAGTGACAGAGAAGGATGAACAAAAACAGTCCAACCCCAAGGTATAAGGATTTCAAAAAGCCTTTATCTATTTTCATTCCCTCTTACATTTGGTTTCCTGTCAGTAATGGTTATTCTATCTCCCTGACTATCTTTTAGGAGAGTTTCACTGACATCTATAGTTCCAAGTACATGCAAAATGTGACACTGTCTGGAAGTGAAATTCAGATTCCCCCTAAGAGTGAGTTCCTCTCTGTGAGCCTCTGATAATAATATCAGACTTATCTCTGTACAAATATCTCATAAAATAGTGTATAGTCATTAACAAATCAATTATTTATGGAAATATTGTCTCCTGAAATCAGGTGTGAAGATAGAAATGGAGAATCACGATTCAGAACATGAGCCCAAGCTTTCAAGTCCATTTCCACCTGAATGGTGGGTGAATCTTCATCACTTATAACATTGTAGACATTAATAGTTTACTCCCCAGAGCTTCCCTGTGTTCCATAGGTTTTAAACTCTGGTGCTGTGTTTAACATCTTCCTTTTTTTCTAATATAAACCTGCAAAGGGAAGCATAATCTGTTTTGGGTACCATTATTGTTCTTTATTCATTCTGAAGGTGTATGTAATCCAAGAGGGAGAAGTGAGTGTTATCTACTTTTAGAACATGCACCTCTTTTCCCTGTCACATGATGGAATCATTGTTGGTCCCTTTACAGGGTGACACAAAAGTTCTGTACACTTTAAAAAACTGTTCTCGATTCTAAGCTACTACGTTCATATATGCTTGGCTTGGTTTCTACACGTAGCCTAAGGTACGCGCGACTTAGGGGATTCTCAAAGTGCTGATGAAACTATCAGTTTCGTCATGCCAAGCAGAAAAGAATTCCCTGACTTCATCACCTTGGCAGAATGGCCTCCTTATAGTCCAGACCTGAACCCATTGGACTTTTGCGTGTGGTGCATCTTGGAGAGCAAAGCCTGTGCTACTCCCCATGCATCCCTGAAGCGTGCCCTTCAAACGGAATGGATCAAAATCCCCCAGGAAACCCTGCGTGCCGCAGTCGATGCATTCCGAAAGAGACTTCACGATTGTGGTACAGCAAAAGGTGGTCATTTTGAATGAATTTGCAGGCATTATCTGTTGAAATGGTTGTAGTTTCTAATAGCGTTGTCCCCATTTGTGAGTTCTTTAAAAATGGTTATAAAAAGTTGAAATAACCGAGTGTACAGAACTTTTGTGTCACCCTGTATAGTAACCTAATAATTGAAACATGAAGTAAGGGTGAAGTTCTGCTTTCCTCCATGGCTTGCCTTGCAGGATTCTCTTTTTCATATCGTAGTGAAAAAGACCTAGACAAGAGTATAGGTGTGAATGAGCTGAACTGTTCATTGTATGATGATGATGTTGATGCCAGGGATGAATGGGATGAGAGGGAGCGTCTGGTGAAAGACGTGGATGTGCATGACGCTAATCCTGTGAATGCTTGGCGCTTCACCTTATCTCGTTTCTTCATCTTCATTACAACATTCCCTATGATCTTCATTCAGGGACTCCTCTATTTCATCCAGTATGTCCTTCCTTTTCTTCCCCTCCTTCAAATGAAATCAATGCTTTTCAGTTGCACTTTTTGCAGAATATCTGACTCAGTCTCTATTTGCATTCCGGTGTGCTGGTCCAGTTTTAAAGGAAATGAATCTGACCATGCAAACTCCATATGAGCTGGTTTATTCCATAAAAATGAACATGAATTTCTTGGAAAAAGGACAAGGTGAGCCTTTCTCCTTAAGTATCTTCTCTATGGTCCTCTGAGCAGTAAGATCACATTTTGGAATTTCTTTTGCTGAATGTGACTCAGAGCCTTCAAAACATCTGTCATTCCAATTGTGCTTCTGAATGGGTAGAGTGTTCAACAAATCATGGGCAGTAGAAAATCTGATCAGATTTCTGTCACATGCTTTTACCATCCCTGACCCACTTGACAATTTCAGAGTTTGGTCCTTATGTATGAGGTCCATTCACAAAATTCCCAGTCTGGTTTTAAAACTCCTTGTTTCCTGATGTACAAATACTAGTTCTCTTCAGGATCTAGATTCTGATTGGGATCAGGTCATGATTGGATCAGAATTGGGTTATGGGAGTGAATTAGAAAATATTTCTTGATTATTGGTTTTCTTTCTAATTTTTTTCTTGAATATTTTTTAATGGACTATTCCCCCCACTTATTTCCTGCACACTAGCAGGAAATAAGTGGGGGATATTTTTTTTAACTAATTAAAAAATGTGGAGCTCCATCAACACTTGCAATGAATTAGGAAAGTGCACCATCCTTCATGAACATTTGAGGCATTCAAATAGTGCAAACAATTCACAAGGAAGTGCTACCTTAATTGTGATTTCAAGGTGAGTTTGATCTTTAGCATCAGTTGAGTGAACCTTTCCAGATATTGCCTGAATGATATAAGAGATGCTCTGACTCTCTGAGAGCTTAGGAAGTATCACTCTCTGATCAGAAAAATGTCTAGCCCTTTAGCTCTTCTCCTTGATGACTTTGATGACCAATTTACGACAAAACTCACTTTGGGCCATTCCTTATTACCTGTTTTTTTTGGTGCTTAGAGAATATCATCAGGTAGACTGGGGTGTCTGCTCCATAAACAGCCACACACAACATCCTGTTTGTTTCTTTGACCCTTTTTTTTTCTTCAAAATTTCATGGCAAGCTTAATTTCCAGTTTCACTCTTACTCAATTTCACCAAGCAGGACTGAATCCATTTAGCAGCTAGTTCATGAGAGAAGCCTTTTATATTCAGGTGCTTTGACTGACCTACAAAAATAGATTTATTGCCCTATTTCCTTGCATGTATTGCTACTGATGAAAGTGGGATGGAAGACAGACCACATTGAATGCATTAAGAAATGAGACCAATGGGTCATGTAGTTGCATGGTAATCATTGGCCAAAGACCAGAGCTGAATTTAAGATGGTCATTATTTAGGTGCAATATCTGCTTGGCAAGGATTGTATTTATGGCAGCAAAGCACTCATTGAAGGATGTATGGGTGTAATAATACATCTTATCTCAAGCTAAAGGGTGACTGCAGTCAACCTTTAGCTTGAGATAAGAAAATGATCAGTTCTGGAAACGTGGTTTTCCATAGTTTCAAAGTTGAGTTCCACAATTTGTGGGGATTCAGTTGTCAAAAGTATCATGACCCCCAAGGCATGGAACAGAGAAGGAACACAATGCATACATTCTGCGATTGCTGCCTGCAACTTTTATTGTAACAATGATCATTATTGCTTGTGGAAACATGTTTTCTCATGATCTTGAATTAAGTACTACAATGTATGTGGATTTATTTATCAATAGTATTATGACCCTGGGTTCTGAAGCAGACAAGAAATGGGTCACTCCATCTCAAGTGTGTATAAATTTGAACCAAGTGGTTCTCTTATGAAATTTCTTTTAAATTTGGCATGGAAAATTGAGGGAAAAAAATTAGACCAAGCACTTTTTCCTTCATATCCAGTTTCATAGATATAAGGTTACAGTATTTTGACCTTACCCTGCCTCTATATAGATCTGTCAAGAAAATATTCCTAGATACCTTAATACCTATTCAAGCTAAATGACTGTTTCGTACCTTGTTTAAATGTTCCTGAAGGGGCCTCTTCATATCATGCATTGTTTTCACTTTCATTACCAAATGAGGCCAACTTTTGCCTAGACAGCTATCCATGACCTTTTGACTTGGAATAGCTCAAGACACTACTTTCTTATTTATTATTTTAAAATGAGCATTTTTAAGAATACCTGTTGATGAAGAGATGCACAAAAAATGTAAAGAGTATGGTCCTTGTAGAACAGGAATATCTCATAAACTAAGATGAGCACTCTTTTTAAGTTTGTGCAACTCTATCGGTGTTTCTTCTATTGTGCCTTCTATCATACAACACCACCCTGCAAGCTAGTTTAAAGTGGGGTGTATGAAATTGGACAGTGCAGCCCTGGATGGGGATGAAGATTCTTGCAGTTGTAAAAGCTTTTCTAATTGCAGAATTTTCCAGGGAGTGAATTAAATGAGAGAAAAAAAGTCACTTGGTATGAAAAAACATTGAGAAATCTCTTTCCTCAATATGAAAAGAAATACTTATTTCATTTCACATGGGGAATTTCAGTTTTTATTCTAAGTTATACCTCTCCTTCCTGCTGAAAAATAATATAGATCACATGTTTATTCATTTTTTCTGTTAATTTTCAAATGAGGCAATGATTTTCTGTTAGTTGAACTTACATGTTGGTTTTACATCTGAAATGCAGTCATGTTGTTGCAAGTTTCAGTCTGGTGTACCTTGTTTTTATTGGAAAGCCAACAGTTGTTTTGACCATTCCTTCTGATAGTGCTTGTGCTATAATTGTAGGATGCTGCTGTACCTGGTGAGCACATTCACTGTGGGTGTGATCATTCAAGTGAAGCAGTATTTGCTGCGCCCCCTCTTTTTGCACATCCTCCTCCCCCTCTTGCTTTTTGGAGGACTCATCTTGGATCGTCTCTATTCTGCCTCCACTCCCGCCATGGAGTTTATCTCCTTTCTCTGCGACAACATTGCCCGTATCTTAAGAGCATTCCGGTTGGTTGAGATCCACATCCATCGACACAGTCCCATTACCACACCTTTGGCTTCAACAGCCAACCCATAGGCCTACTCCTCAACTTCAACTACCAATTGATGGCCCTGACCCATGTCTTTGGCATCTCACCAATCACCTCCCCTCAACTTCAAATATTAAACTCTGGCCCTCCTCCTATCATTCTATTTGTGTGTTGTTGTCAATGTAACATTTTGGTGTAAAATGTATCCTTAACTCTTGCCATTTGCTATCATGTGGCTTGTGAGACTCTGCTCTCTAGTTAGGTACAGAGATAAGCATTCCTGTAGAACTTATTGTAAGAGAAGTATTCTCTGTTGACAATATATTTCTTCACATACAAAAGGTCCATGGTACCATATTCAAGTGAGTACCTGCTGGTGAGCATATTCAGGCTGATCTCCAAATCTGTGCACCTAAAACCCTTTTCCTTTAAACTGTCTGTATGGACAATATTTGTGACACTACCAGGCAGTTCCTACTAGAAGGTCTTTTGAGCATTCATTATTTCATGGTAATGTACCATGCATATCATGTACACATCAGGTTATGTCTTCAATGGGATGTATCAGTTTTTTTTCCCCTTGGCACTCACTCACCTTTGCTCAGGGCTTAACCATTTCAACAAATTTTAAAGTTGGCATATGGGAAGTGAGGTTTATTTTGATTCTTTTCACTTCATTCTCATTGTTGGACTGTTTATAATGGAATGTTGCTAGTCGCTCTTTTTACAAGTCTAGTCATAATTTTGCCAATTTAAGTCAGTGTATGCATTTGATGTGTGCCTCTATGCTTTTTGGCATGTCGGTCTGAATTCTGGGGCATGTTTGCCTTTCTCCAAGTACTCCATTCCCATTTATTAATTGTATATAAATTTGTTGTGATGGAGAGTAAAATGTCTGAGTGTCTTAGTAGTCAGTCTGTCTCCTTGTGGGTGTATTGTGTGCATTGAGGACATGGTCTCATTTCACATACCTCTCTTTCTCCGCACAATTTGGATTCTTAAATTTCTTCTGCCTCCTTCCATATCCAATATAGATAAAACCATCTGAGCACCTAAGTTCGGACATTATAACATGCCATTTTATTAAGCTAAGTATTCATGAGGTCATTCTCAAAATACTTCTAAGCAGTGAAGAACTGTTTCCAAGGGTGACCTCACAAATGCTTAGTTTTGTGGCAATATGTCTGAACTTAGATTAGATGGCTTTTCCATACTATACTTCTTTGCCTTCATCTGTGATCCAGTCCTTTGATTTCCATCTGTGATCTTGCAATGCAATGCTGATATTGTGTCTTCTGATGCATTCTATGTTGTGTTTCCCACTTCATCTATGCATATCTGTTCATTTTGTCTTCATGCCGTGATAATATATATTGTGATGGCCGTTTCCCTGCATTGGTTTATATGATATGCCCTATCATACACAAAAAAGACAACTGGACAATTTCATTCATTATGCATGACTTTTCTGAGCTAAAAAATATAATGGGCCATTGAATCCAACCCAGTCAAAAATTCAAGCCTGATCTGAAAACGGGAACCTTCATGGTACCAGCATGGTACCAGCATGAACCTTCATGGTACCACCTTTAAAGTAGACCTGGATGCATGATGGTTTCTTGCTGGATATCCAGCATGTATCCACTGGGAAACCAACATGGTCCTTAAATGAAACAACTTGCATCCACAGTGGGGCCATCCTGGGGTTTGGATGGTCATTCATCAAGTAAACACTAGATGCTACCTGTGAAAAATTCACGTCTTCCTAATTGAGATTATTCGAATTCTGTCCTGTACCGTCCAAATGAAACACTGCTTTGGAATTTTGAGTATTGGTTTAATATTGAGCCAATCCCGTCATCCCCCCCTCCCCCAAATTCTCTCCATGCCAAATTTCAGGGGATTTCGTTCCATAATATTCAAATGAGACACCAGATACGATTTAGGAACTCTCGGGTATCTGATCGATGAATGACGTCACTCACGGGCAAGCAGCTGTCTGCGGAACGTAGTGAACTATGAGAGCGCTGAAGAGGCCAGCGTAAATGTGAAGCGTCAGCAGAGACCCTGGAAGCGTCAGCAGAGCCGCTTAAAAAAACGACGCACCTAGAAACCTCGAGTACTGAAGCTTAGAGCGAAACGGGCTGCAGGCCGATCGGGTTCGTTAAGTTCGGTCCGACGATCGAGTTTCGTGTCAGGAGGGGGTCACAACTGGAATAGGACCGATCGGATTGGGTTCGAAAAAGGTCGAAGGAAGTCGAAATGTCGAAATGAAATTAAGTGATTTCCACTTTCGCCCCCGAGACGTAATTGACAGATAGTTGCCAAATATTCCCTTTTATCTCATCTCGATAAACGGGAGCGAGAGTGCACGGGCGATTTTCCAAAAGTTGATTTTCTTCTGCCCCAGCCCTTTAAAAAGAGAGGTAAGGTTAACTCCCAATTTCGCTTTCCTACCCTATGTAAGATGGATACTGAAAGTGAAGGGGTGGATAGAAACTATAGCCCCTCATGGATTCAGAAATCATTGTTCTTATGAAGAATCTGACGAAGCAGTCAAATGATGGTATAAAATACACAAATTAGGTCATACAGTTTAAAAAAAATTGCATCTGAACGAACTTCTTCAGAAGGAACATATGGTCTAACCAAACGCCACCACATAATACAGGGCAGTGACATTTTTTTAAAGACCAATTTCGTTTGTCCGAAATAGATGAATAGATTCGGGAGACGGTGAATCCGAGCCTCCCAGTCCTTGTATTTCTTTTTCTTCCTTATCCTATCACTCCCAGTCTCCAGCACGACCAGCCGCGATTCCATGTGCGATTGTTCCTTCTAAATCAAAGCCAAGAGTTCAAAAATGTTTAAGTGACACTTATGGGCATATATCAGTATCTGTCTTAAGCAGGGACGAATAGTGAAACAGGGAGTTGACCTTGCCTCCCCTTCTTTCAAGGTTAAGGCAAATATGGGTATCAGTCATGAAACTCACGCGTGGAAAGTCGCCCCCGTGCACTTTCGCCCCAACCGTGTGAAGGTCGAAGATTAAATCACATCTCGTGATTCTTGTCAATCAGAATGTGGGGGCGAGATTCCACAGGAGTGAAAGTGGAAGTAACCGACCCGTGCAGGCCTCCAGCAGACTGACGGAGGACAGGGGGACGTCTGCTATTATACAGATACTGGAACCCATACATTTTTTCAGTATTACCTTAGGCTAATAACCATCTTGGAAATACCTTGGTATCAGGGTCTCAAGTTTTACATCCATCCTGTAAACATCATGCAAAGCTCAGGATAACTTCAAATAAAATTTGTTTACTTTGCTTCAGCTTCAAAATGCAAGTAATAGTATTGGCAGTTGCAAATGTAATTAAGTCATTATTGAAAAAATTTCATTCGACAAGGCATGTAAGTTAAAAAAAAAAAACAATTCCAAAGAGCACAGTCACGTTTTTAAACCACCACATCAATCCTTTGGTGCAGACACCTCCAGAATCCAACTTTCTCTGTGAGAGTGGAGTGTAACATGGTGTGATCGATGGGAGGCAATTAGAGATCAGTTCTCCCGGGGGAAAGGGGCAATTGGTAACTTATGGTAATTTTATCATTCTGTTCGTCACAAATCTTAGGTTTTCTTTCTTTGTTTCATGTGCTCACAATAATTTTTTAACAAATAATTTAAAGGGGAAATGGGCTGGTGTGCAACTCGTCGACCTTCTTCCTGGAAAACGATTCCATGTACTAGTTTGACCTATAAATAGGAATGAAAGGAGAAATGATGTAATGAAATCGTTACGAGGTGAGACCAGACCTGAGGTGATCGGTTATTCTGACAACAATCATAGAGGTGACGCGTTCGTTTGGTGTGGAAAGTGTGGGACCGGAGGAGGAACCTCTAAGCACGGCGGAATCGTCTTCGTCTCTCTTCCATTCCATTGAACCCGTTGATTCTTCAACGTGACTCCGGACTTCGAACGGGGATTGAAGGTGCGTTATTAAAGAACAGTTGGCAACTGCGCATGATTTATCGGGGAAGGGGGGATTGAGGAAAAGCTGCATCAAGTTGGCAGGGAGCTAAATGGGAGCTAAAAAATAAATCGCTAAATGGCGATTCACCTCCCTCGACCAATATTCAAAAGCAGTTCACTGGGGTTCGCGCTACTCCCGACGATTTGCACCGGACTGCGCACGACGGTCTCTCGTACTGACTAACGCCTGGCGCGGGGTTGGACGAGGGCGTGGAAAAGGAAAGTGGACAGATATGGGTACGTTAGCGTGAGAACTGGGAGACTCTTCTCCAACTACTGCTAATTACATCATACATAGCAGGGCTTGAGAAGGACTCCATAACGGGGACAGAATATTCCATTTTGTTAATGGGATGGGGTTATCAGCACGTTCGCAAGAAAGGAAATTCAGAGCGTGGTATACAAACAGATGAAGTTCAAGCATAAGCCTATGATCAAGGTGTTAGAGGGAAGGATCACAATGATACTCTAATCACGAACTCTGACCGCTCGCACGTAACTGGATGTAGCAGAGATGCTGCTGTCCTTGACTTGTCTCTGTGGCCATTTCTTAATCATCTTGTGAGGAACCAGGTTTAATCACTGACGTCACAAGACGTTTAACAGAGAGGCGGAGCGCACATCCGCCATGCTGGAGTACAGGGGAGCGGGGGTTTCGACTGATAGGCCTATGTTACGGGTATAGCCTCATCAAGTCTGCGTCATGATTACCTATTTTGAGACTCTGAAAGGCACGGCAAAAGACTGTTATCTGAAGATGATGTGCGAAGACTGTGATCATTACGCGCTGAAGCTCTGTGATGGTCTGGTGGATGATGCCAAGTTCTGGCCTAAAATGCGATGTGTTCCATTTTTCGCAATAGCGCCTGTTAGTCATGGCGTGTCTGTGCAATGTCATCGTGTGGTATCTTTTCAACGGAAAGTCATAGCGTTAAAGGGTTGTTTCGCAAAGGTCTATGAAGGAAGAGACTCCACAGAAATGAGTCAGGAAATTCGAACTACAGTATTGACTTCTTTCTCCCATACTTACCCTTAGAGCATCACATGCCATCAAATTCAGGTCTTACCTTCTCACCTGAGGCCTAACGACACGATACAATCTAGTATCCTCTGACGAGAACACCTGTTTTGGGCTACCTTCCTAATCATGGAGTTAGATATAGGCCTGTACGGATACCACACAACCAATTTGTGAAACAGCATACATCATCATTTCTGCAGGTCCGTCACTCTCAAAGACTCAGGGTACCACCTTTGCAAGTGTGGGTTCTTGCTCAGACTTGGATCGACCGCAGAAATTCACCCTAGTTCAGCAAAATATCACTGTCGTTCTTGCCAAACTTAGTCTGCCTGTACTCCAGCATGGCGCGAAGGCCGTGTCTCCCGATCTGTGACGTCATGTGAAAAAGCCCTATAGGCTTTGGTAGAGCCTACTACCTTTCTTCAACCCCTTCCCGCAGCAAAATTCAACCTCCTTTTACTCCTCTCTGAGAGTATCAACAGGAATGAAATTCGGCATACTTCTTCCTCTCTCACCACAGAATCGCTCCACCAAATTTGAAGCTCCATCTCCTCGGAGTTGTGGAGAATACTGAATCTCATTTTTAGAGGATGTGAATTTCATTCCGTTTTTTTTTCTCCCCCCCCTGGGTAGCCACTCCTGGGAAGGAGGAAAGAGATCAACCATAAGAAAGATATTGACTCTTAGATCACGAAAAGTGGCTTTTTTGTTGTTAGCGATGCTTCATTTCGCCATTTAAAAAAATGAAATTAGCTGTCGTTCCATTAGGCTTGCTCGGGTACCGTCACCCAGTGTTGTCGGATACTGTGCCGAAATTATGCGGATTCAAGACTGAAGAAAGGGAACGCCATTGAAAATTGGTTTTCACATTACTTCATTGAAATCGTGGGCTGGAAATAACTTTTATTTCCCGCATTTGGGAGCTGGCAGGTGATGGAAACTTCCAGGTCTTTTTCCCCCGTTGCTATCGTATTGGAATGGGAGCTTTCATATTGAATAAATGATCATGCAATTTGTTTTCATGGCTCCCTCTTCGTTCGTAGTAATTACGAATTCAATAGCTGTGGGATTCAAGAGGTGTATTTGAAAACCTTTTTGGCTCAATCAAGAAGCTATCAAGGAATCAAGCCAGTGTCCCGAGTGGATTTTCTGTAACGTCCTGATCTGCCATGACGTCTATTCGACAAGCTTACGCACCATAATGGGAAAAAGTACAGAAAATATGCGATGCAAACATTATGGGAAAATTTCTTCCTTTTTCAGTATATGATTTATTATTTTTCCACTGGCGAAGTTTGGAATTCTGC